TATCTCATCCTTCCAGAATACTGACCCTTCTGTCTTTCCAACAAAGCATCAAGCCGTTTTTATTTAAATCAGTCTGACATCCTGGCCTCAACACTTCCTTGGTAACCTGTTCCAGTCATTGTGTACCATTCTGGTAAAAAAAATTTCCTGGTGTCTGTCCTGAAATTGCCCTTTGCAATCCTAAACTTATGCCTTCTTGTGTTGCTGTCTTGGTGCATCCAAAAGTTACGTCACTGTTGGCTCCTGAACATACACAATGCACAACACAGAAAAAGTTCCAATCTAGTTGGTATCATCAGTATCTTGGCTGATGTATTCCAGTGCCACCTGTTGTGTGTGAAGGCACACATCGAATAAAAAGGGAGTGGTTCACTTCCATCTAGTATTTCACAGGTTATGTGTCTGTCTCTTCCTATGTACTGTATATACGATACACCAGGTAAAGGAAACAATTCACTTCCATCTAGTCCTGTGCAGCTTCTATGTGCCTCAGTGTCAACTCTTGTTTGCTTATTAACAGCAGGAGAAGCTGTAATGTGGGAGTTAGTAATCATTTTCTCAGTGATACAACAGCTGTAAATAATAGTGTATAACTCTCAACACAAATAATGTGCCTCTGGTGGAGCTCAGTTCCCAGTGTTTATAAATACAGTACATCAATCTCAAACTTTTCTTATAAAAATGAACAGGAGGAATGTTAAAGCCTGTAGACGATGATAGTCAGCTGTCAGCTTGTACTGAAAGATAGTGGATTCAGATCAGTGATGTTTAAATATACAACAAAATGTTCAAAACTGCAGAGTTCTTCCTCCCCTCTATTTGATCCTGCACACAGAATATTCAAGGGGCAGATATACACAATTCCCTATATAGTGAGCTTCCAGTAATTATTTACTGACTGCCTATCCAGACTAGCTGCATTAGGCTGCACAATACACTTTCCTTGCAAGTCCGCATAGGGTTGTATAATGAATGAACTGTCTTTGTAAGCAATACTATTACTGTGACAGTTTTTTGAGAGTATCGTGTCTCTTCGATCTGGAATGCTGTAATATCGCTGCACCTTGATCTGGCAGACAGCTGGTCACCAAGGCGAACAGTAAGACTTTCTGCTAACAGAAACACATGTACTCTCTGCTCACTACAAGTTGCTTTGGAGGCAGGGATCAAGGTACCGGTCAGCAGATTGTATATTAAAATAAACAGAAATTGTATTTACAGCCAATTATAACAGAAGATATAACTGGCAAGACATGACCGAACACAAGAAAACTGCCAAAGTTAACTTTCTCACAGCCCCTTTTTAAATTAGAGCTTCTGTAGACTTTTCCCCCAAACTTAGTTCTCCCACTCCTTCGCTCTGAAGATAAAATGATGAGATTCAAACAGCAAGGTCGTCGAAGACATCCCTGGAATTTGCTCAGCCGGTAGCAGAATCAAAGGCCATTTCATAGTGCTCTTTTGTAAATCTCACAATAGACACAATTATTTAATGGAGTGAACTTTCCTCAGTAAGAGGTAATTCGATTTCCAACATTCTTGGCATATTTCTAAATGAAGTTGTCTGAGCACATCTATTATATAGGAATGTAAAAGTGCACAGCACCAGAAAAAGACCACTGCAGTCCAATTGGCAAGTTCCAAAGAACATAACTGTATTGTACAACACATTTCCTTTCAGCTATTGATCTGGACACCCTGATAGAGCGGAGATTTGCTGCAGTGCTTTTTTATTTAAAAAAATCTGATAACCTCACAAAAGTTTCATATATTTTTGCACAAAAAGCGCGCCAGATACCATCCCATATACAACCAGGTCATGTGAACTGAGCAAAGAGAAGTGCAACATTTATTTGGTACAAGTGGAGGAGGATAATTTTAAGAGAAAACAGATGTTTCAATTGTTCCCAGAGATGCTCTCAGGCAACAGCCTACCTGAAACATGCAAACTGTGGCAAAGCAGGGATGCCTGACCCAGACCAATATGCCCTGATAATAAATGTGTGTAAAGCTATATAGATGGAATAAGCATTTTAAATGAAGTTAGTTGGTGCATCACCGTTTATTCAAAATGCTCCCGTCAAGCAACCCAATGCCACCTTCAAATACTTCAGCACCACTGGGATCAGAAAGCACAAGACAAAGATAATTCACAGCCGCAGGATTGGAAGACGTCCTCCCACTTTGCGTGGGTCAGGCACAGTGTTCACACAATGAAAGACAGACATATACTCACCACAACCCCCAACCCCCACCAACTCCTATTGTGACTGTCCTCCGTCAGTACATACAAAGCTACAATATTCTGCCATCACAGTCACACACGCTACATATCCAAAATAAGCAAAAGAGAGAGATTGCTTATTTGTTCTGTTGAATCAATGTTGCATTGCTCCCTTTCAAAACATAAACTATCAAGAAATGACACACTCAGCATTCAACCACTTTCCCATCTCTTGGTTTGGGACAGGGCAGGGTGGGAACGACAGAGGAAAAGCCCATATCTCTTCTCCAGCCAAATAGGGACCCATCAACATCGGTTTGCTTACGCATCATTTCTTTCCCAAAGGTCTTCTCTGGCTCCTACATAAACTGACCATTGTCCCACAAGTAGGCACTTGCCTGCAAAACACAGATAACCTGTGAAGCACACCGATATGTCTGCCTGACACGTGAAGTACTATATCAAATGCAAGGATTAATTATTATTGCTACAAGTTTGAACGGCACCTCAATCCTATTCAGTTGAGTAACACAAGAAACTGGAGTAGCACCAAGAGTCGGGCTTACATAATATGTCTGTACGGCAAGGAGGACTACAAAGGTCAGGAAGATGAGCTTACAGGAATCACTCAGCGAGGCTCTGAGAACCAAGAGTATGTGCCTGTATGTGAATGTGAGCACAAGCGAGGAGATGCAGCAGAGTACAGTGAGGAGATACGGCATAGAGTACAGTGAGGAGATACAGCAGAGTACAGTGAGGAGGTACAGCAGAGTACAGTGAGGAGGTACAGCAGAGTACAGTGAGGAGGTACAGCAGAGTACAGTGAGGAGGTACAGCAGAGTACAGTGAGGAGATACAGCAGAGTACAGTGAGGAGGTACGGCATAGAGTACAGTGAGGAGATACAGCAGAGTACAGTGAGGAGATACAGCACAGAGCTACAAACCAAAGTACAGTGGGGAGACACAGCACAGAGAGTGCAGGAGGGAGACACAGCATAGAGAGTACAGGGGGGAGACACAGCACAGAGAGTACTGGGGGGAGACACAGCACAGAGAGTACGGGGGCGGGGGGACAGCACAGAGAGTACGGGGGGGAGACACAGCACAGAGAGTACAGGGGGGAGACACAGCACAGAGAGTACAGGGGGGAGACACAGCACAGAGAGTACAGGGGAGAGACACAGCACAGAGAGTACGGGGGGGGGGGGGGGGGACAGCACAGAGAGTACAGGGGGAACACACAGCACAGAGAGTACGGGGGGGGGGGGAGACACAGCACAGAGAGTGCGGGGGTGGGGGGGGAGACACAGCACAGAGAGTACGGGGGGGGGGGGGGGGGAGACACAGCACAGAGAGTGCGGGGGTGGGGGGGGAGACACAGCACAGAGAGTACGGGGGGGGGGGAGACACAGCACAGAGAGTACAGGGGGGGACACAGCACAGAGAGTACAGGGGGACACAGCACAGAGAGTACAGGGGGGGGGGGACAGCACAGAGAGTACAGGGGGACACAGCACAGAGAGTACGGGGGGACACACAGCACAGAGAGTACGGGGGGGAGACACAGCACAGAGAGTACGGGGGGGAGACACAGCACAGAGAGTACAGGGGGGAGACACAGCACAGAGAGTACGGGGGGGGAGACACAGCACAGAGAGTACGGGGGGGAGGGGGGACACAGCACAGAGAGTACAGGGGGGGGGGACACAGCACAGAGAGTACAGGGGGGGACACAGCACAGAGAGTACAGGGGGGGGGGGGACACAGCACAGAGAGTACAGGGGGGGGGACACAGCACAGAGAGTACAGGGGGGGGGGGACACAGCACAGAGAGTACAGGGGGGACACAGCACAGAGAGTACAGGGGGACACAGCACAGAGAGTACAGGGGGGGGGACACAGCACAGAGAGTACAGGGGGGAGACACAGCACAGAGAGTACAGGGGGACACAGCACAGAGAGTACAGGGGGGGAGACACAGCACAGAGAGGGCAGTAAAGGGAGATGGGTCGGGGGGACAGTGTCACTGGAGTGTGAGCTCATGGTCGGGGGGTTGGTGGTGGTGGTGGTGGTGGAGGGGCTCAGGGATGGTGTCGGTGTCGGTGTTGATGCTGTCGCGGAGCTGAACTTGAAATCCGACAAAAGAGGAGAGTACAAAACCCCAACAACAACAACAACAACCTCCATCAACAACCACCTCCATCAACAACAACAACAACCACCACCTCCATCAACAACAACAACAACCACCACCTCCATCAACAACAACCACCACCTCCATCCAACAACCACCACCTCCATCAACAACAACAACCTCCATCAACAACAACAACAACCACCACCTCCATCAACAACAACCACCACCTCCATCCAACAACAACAACCACCACCTCCATCAACAACAACCTCCATCAACAACAACAACCACCACCTCCATCCAACAACCACCACCTCCATCAACAACAACAACCACCACCTCCATCAACAACAACAACAACCTCCATCCAACAACCACCACCTCCATCCAACAACCACCACCACCTCCATCCAACAACAACCTCCATCCAACAACCACCACCTCCATCAACAACAACAACCACCACCTCCATCCAACAACAACCTCCATCCAACAACAACAACCTCCATCAACAACAACCTCCATCCAACAACCACCACCTCCATCCAACAACAACAACAACCTCCATCCAACAACAACAACAACCTCCATCCAACAACCACCACCACCTCCATCCACCCAACAACCTCCCAACTCACGTAAAGCCCCGAGTGCCTCTCCCCGAAGAAGGGGAAGCTGACGGAGATGTGCAGCAGCCCCGAGCCTCCATCGTCCACCTCCGGGGTGACCGAGTCCCCGAACTCCAGACCGAAAGGATAGAAGTCGTCCAGAGGGACGGAGGCGGCGACCTGGTCCCACACCGCCAGCCCGAGACCGGCCGCCGCCACCCACAGGACCAGCCGCAACCTCTCCTCCATCTCTCTCCCTCTCTCTCTCTCTCTCTCCCCCTCTCTCTCTCTCCCCCTCCTCTCCCTCTCTCTCTCTCTCACTCTCTTCTGCCTCTCCACCTGGAGCTGAGCTGAGAGCTGAGTGTGAGGAGCACCTTCTGTGGCTCCACTCAGCCAAGTGTGTGTTGTGTGTGTGTCCCCTTCACCCACACACACACACAACACACACACACTCCACCATCTCCAACTCCCACCCACTGCTTCCCCCCACAACCAATAACACCCCGAGGGTCGGCACTCACTCAGCCAATAGGTACCAGCAAGAAAGCACCAGGTTCACTTGTCCTCCCCCACCATCACCACTGACATCCCACCTCCACCCACCCCCCCCATCACCACTGACATCCCCCCACCCCCCCCCCCCCCACTCCCTATCCACTCCCCACTCTCCCTCCCAACACACACACACACCAACCCAAAACTTTCTTGAAGGTTAAACCGACCAGCAAACACCCCCCCCACACCCACCACCTCAAAAAAGAAAGATTCGGTGAAAAAAAAAGAAGCGATGCATTCTTTCTTGTTGCAAGATTTTATTCAGACTCCGGGCTTCACAGCGCCCACACATCCTTACGTTCGCAGCTGTGCCGCATGATGGTGATGATGATGATAATTGTTATAATAACAATCCTTGCATTCGATCGAGCGCCTTTCACTTTCTTCTTGACGTCTCAAAGCGCTTCACTGAACGTGCGGTAAAGTGAATCGACTGTGTACTTGCGGGCGAAACGCGGAAGCCGGTCGCGCACAGCAGCGTCCCCACAAACAGTCGTGGATTGAGTGACCAAATTTTTATTGTTTTTTTCTGGAGGGATTATTATCGGGCGTGTGGAATTAAGGAAATTTGTTCAAGGTTTCGCCCTGCCGGGAATTGAACCCAGGTCTCTCGCTTGCGAGGTGAGTGCTCTAAAAACTGAGCTACAGGACTCTGCATGTTAAGGATATAAAGTAAAACTCACATAAGTCTGATCTGTATAAATTGTATAATCGCCCAAGTTGTACACCTGCCGAAGTCTGGTTCAAGAGTTTATGTTCTAGCAAGTTTGACATAACTCATACTTTGCATAAGCGACATAAGTGGAGTCCTGTATCTCAGTGGTTAGAGCACTCGCTTTGCAAGCGAGAGATCTGAGTTCAATTCCAGGCAGAGGGCGAAACCTTGGGCAAGTTTCCTTACTCCACACACGTGGGACATTGCTGTGCGCAATTGGCTGCCGCGTTCGCCCACAAATATACAGTCAATTCACTTTACAGTATATTCTGTGAAGCGCTTTGGGACGTCCTCCCGACGTGAAAAGCGCTATATCAAATACAAGGATTATTATTATTATTAAATGTATGGTCTCAACTGATATGACTTATGTGAGTTTTATTGTGTAAGTGTTCTAACGATCTCTAACCCGACAAGCAGCGAGAAAGCTTGCCGGACAGCAATGTCAATGGCAAGCTATGTGGTTTTAGCTGGTTAGACTGCAGCAGTACCCCAACGCACACTCTGGGATCCCCAAGCCTTGGCACTTGACAACCTGTGCCTAATACCTTCTGGAATTAGGTAAGCAGAATACGTCCCTCCAGGGAGAGAGCGCGCATTCCATTCCAACAATCTATCTTTGGGAATTTCCATGTGTAGGTGGGTTTCATGGAAATCTCAGCTTGGTTTGCATAGTCTTTAGCATGGTGATGGGTTTCCGCATGTGTCAAGACACCCGGTTGAACAAAACAAAAGCAATCTTTTCTGCATATTCACCACACTGAACCCAGATAGCGAGGATGGGCTTCTGAATTAGGCTCTGGCATCAAGTTTCAGTCAGATTAATGATTCCATCAAAATAAAACTGTCCCCGTTAAATGCACTCCCAGGTTAAGGCTTTAACACAGCAAGGCTTAAATGTAGAGGAAAGTTCCCTCAAACACTCCCAAGTCTGGTATAGCAAGGATTAAATACAGATAAAACCTCCTTCTGCATTGCTCCCATCAAGCAACCCCAAGCTAGTATTGTACATGTGAGATGCAAATTAAAGATCTCAGTACACTGCTCAACTGATCCCCTTCTCCCCAGATATAAAACAGGATACACAGGCAAAACCTCTAAAAGGTGGCTCCACTGTAATATCTGAAGAGCATTCAGAAGTGATACCATACTCGCTCTTTCCACCTCAGCTATTTTTGTGCTGTCCTGAATCAGATCATTTTACTCATCATTTGAACTAAGTTTTTTTTTTGTTTTTTGCTTTGGAATCACGCTCACTGGGGCATGATAAACACAGTGAAGGTTCAGAACAAGTGTAAGATAAACACAGTGAAGATCTGGCAATAGAGGAGTGAAATCCTGTGTGTTTCATCGCACATTGCTTACAATGAACATGTTATGAAAGGCAGAGATATATTGAAAGATTGGAGACAGGAGTGAGGTGAGGGCGCTGAAGGGTTGGAGAAAGTGAAATAGGTTTTCTGTTAATGTTAAAGCAGAGAATGGTTTACCTTCCTTTTTCCCCACGCCATACTTTCTTAAGTGTCTCTTTCGAAGCATCTCACAAGTATGGCCAATAGCGAGGAGGAAGGAGATATCCTTGATAAAAGAGACTTTGAAAAATATCTAGGTTTTCCCAGCTAATTGTATCACTATGATTGGAAGAAAGGCAACATTTCTGATGTCTGTGTCCCTTTCTTCAACCAATGATTTGTCAATTGACAAATAATCCATAGATTAGTCACATAATGGTAGGTTTTATCCTCTATCAATCCTGTTCCATACCTGAGCTGGGAGCAGCAGTGTTAAAAAGAGCTTTACCTTGCATTTAACCCTTGCTCGACCAGACACCTGGGCATGCTTCATACTAGCAGCAGAGAGGAAGATTTAGCCTGGTGATGAGATTCAAATCAGATGATTTTTGGAGGAAGGTAGAAGCATGAAGTTGCCAAGATCCTAAAGGCCAGAACACAGCAGGGGTACAAGGCAGCACTGGCATCCAGTGCATTCCAGCATCAATATGTCCACTCCTGCAATGTGAGAAGCAAGGCAAAATACATAAAGAGACAAATCAACACAAGGAGGTCTCCCCTCTACCCCTTTTCAGCATATCTCGAGGCAAGACGTCTTGAAGTCCATTAACACAAAACACACAAGTGCTGCTGTTCAGTATGCCCTTGCATCAGCCATCTTCAGCACAATTGGCTGAGTAAGTTAGCTCTGTTGTCAGCTTGTTGGCTGCACTGGTTAACAACTGTCCACCTCCGCACAATATAGCAACTGTGCCAATCAGAACTCTTTGGAGCTGTAAAACAGTGAGTCTGGTGGGACTAAGAAATCAGCCTCTAGCTGATGCAGAGTCTGAATCGTGCCATTTGGATGATGTTCTAACAATCTCAAGTAATTGTGATGTAAACTGTTTTTACTGTTGCATCTCAGATATTGGAATCAACATTTTACAGTCAACAGTGAATGAACACCAGCCTCAGTTTATACGGCACAATCCAGGCTTGTAGATTTAACGAACGACTCATTAACCGCCAGAGTTTTACAAAAAGCCTTTTGCTGCTAATTTAGGTGAGGGATTTATTTTTATAAGCCCCTCAGTGGATTTACACAGATATCACACATCGAGATTTCCAGCAAATATAGACTGAGGCTGAGCTGAACAAATCCATCCACCGGAATAGCTAGAAGCCATAAATCCCTCAAGTTAACTAATTTGATGCAGACCCTGCTGGAATTTGTTTGTGTGCAAGAATTATAAGTGATTTGTTGGAGGAGTTTCTTCTGACGTCTCCAGTTTCTCCCAGTGACTGTGCGAAGTGATAGGTCTGCACTTTGATATGTTCTCCGTTAATCATGTTCCCTGCCTTGGTTGCCAACATCTAAATGAAAAACTGATGCTTCAGCTATTTTTAACCAACACAAGCATGATGGTCAAAGCCAGGTGAAGGTGTGGGTATCAGTTGTGATTAGCACCTGCACTCACACTGAAGGACTACCTTTAGCTCAAAGTGAGGCTTGCTCAGATTCAGAGCTCCATGCATAAAATCTCCCTATTCATTAAAGGCAATCTCAAGCAATCACAGGTAAAGTAGAACTGGAAAAATAATAATAATCTTTGCATTTGATAGAGCACCTAACATGTCATTGAAACGCCTCAAAGCACTTCACAGAAAAAATTGTAAAGTGGATGGACTTTTTATTTTGTGGATGAAACGGAGTGGCCAAATGCACACAGCAGTGTTCCACAAACAGAGGTGGATTAAGTGACCAAAATTATTTTTGAGGAATTATTACCCCCGGAAATTAATCCACCAATCGACTAATAACTGGATTGCTAGATACAGCTAAGTAAACAAAGGCGTGTAGAGTAAGCAAACTTGTCTAAGGTTTCACCCCACCGAGGAATCAAACCCGAGTCCTCTTGCTTGCTAGGCGAGTGCTCTAACATACATAGTATGGGACTGGCCGGGATATGGAGAGTGTACAATGATCCTAAGGAGTGAGCATCTGAGGCTAGGTAAGAAGGAGCCTTGCTATCCGTCATATTACTGTGAGTGTTTGATACAGTTAAGCGTATTAAGTTTGCGATTGGATGAGAAACTAGTGATTGAATTTGAGGGTGGGGGGGGGCAGGTAAGAATAAGGAAGAAAGCTGGAGGCTGGATCGAGTGAGTCTCAGACTCCATCTCCACAGATTTCCTCCGAAAACACATAAGGCAAAGCATTCAAATAGTACGTAGTGGGTTATCTTTATTTTGCAAACAGTGATTTGTTAACATCTTGCATTCATTCAGCAAATTGACGTAAGGCTCCAGGAGAGTCTCAATATTAGGACACAGACAACAAATCAGACAGTACCATGGTTCCGGTTTAATCACAACACAGCCAAGAAATTACAGGTTTAAAAAAAAATCAGTTTCCGATGCAGGGTATGATTTGTACACTGCATTTTCATGGGCACGAGCTTCATACAGAATACAAGGCACACTGGCAAGAGTGAGGCAATGACCACCGCAATTAGTGTCCCATAGTTCACAAGCAGGACAGGTTGTGAGCAGAGGCTAATTGAGGACCAGACTATTGACCAGTGCAATACAAGTAGTCATAACACTTTTTTTTTTTAATTTCATGCTTCCTTAACACCCCCTCCTTTCTTCTGCAGGAGAGGGGGGTGGGGGTGAAGGGGAAAGAATGCAGCGTAAATGTCATCCTGACCAACATCCTACGCTGAAACATTGTGAAAAAAGACGCACAGAAAGCCTATATTGGGACGTCCTCCTGATGTGAAAGGCGCTTAACAAATGTAATTTTGTTGTTGTATTGAGGAAGTGGGGTGCATATAGTTCCTGCACCACATTATAAACATTGCTGCTGTATATTATTGGGATCACTCACAATACAATTTACATTTATGTAGAGCCTTTCACGTTGTGGGGATGTCTCAAAGCGCTTAACAAGATGGGGAGAGAAAAGGTGACTGAAACACGATGAGCCACCATTCTATTGATGCAGAAATCTAGGATGCATCAGAACTTCAGGGAAAGCACGCTGATGATAATGAGGCTCATCTTAGATACAAGAAAATCCCAGTCATCTCTTCGGTGGTTTTCAGTACAGCGTATGAAAAACTATCAACAAAAACAGTGTTTAATTCCTGAGTACATGGAGTACCCACAGCAACAAGGAGCAGTGATTCATTAATATTACTCTCTATCCCCCAAGGCTCACAACACTGTATACAGAGAGAGAGATCACCAGCAGAGCAAGGCCTCAGCAGTACAGAGCAGTGACACTCAAAATACAATCTTGGAACTATTTGCATCCCATCTCACTCCCCTTCACCAGTGTCTCTCTGCACAGGCTCTCCCACGTTAATCTGAGGTTAGTGCTGACAGTTAACTTGTTACTGAATTATACTGATCTGCAAATCTCATACACAACACGTTCTTGTAATAGGAGCAAGAACCTTAGGTGCAGGGAATCTGGCAGCAAGAATTCCTGGCTTCAAGCACCAGCCTCCTGACAACAAGGAGCCTTTCATTCTCTGAATTCTCAGAGTTAAACTAGGCCAAAGCTGTAACCGTGTCTGATCCTGTGCACGCTGCATTGATGGCTGTTAAATCTGGAGGTGCCATTTATTGTGCAGTTAAATCTTGATCCATTGTAACATTGTGCAGCAACCAAAAAAAACACATCCCAGCAAGGAGGAGGAAAATCCCATCCAATGGTGCAATAAACTGCTCCATACAAGAATCTTGCCTATTCTTAAAAATCGCCTAACTCATTGAATACAAGTTTTGATGATGTTGCACCTTCCCCCTCCAATCGCTTGTGTATTCATTTTGTTTAAAGGCACAAATATTTTGGTGCCTTTAAACAAAAGACATCAAGTCACTTTGCAGCCCTCACCAGGTTGTGTTTTCCAGTCTCTATTGTGGATGCAGCACTCTGAACTTTCCCTCTCTTTCACGCAAAGCTATAGAGATTTCTCCCTGATAAGCCAAATGACTATCGACAGAGGTAGACTCAGGATCTCAGCACTCTCCTCCCAGTCCATTCACCATGAACCTGACCTCAGCTATCTCCTCCAGCTTATTCACTGTGAACCTGGTCTGAGCTAACTGAGTAAATTGCCACTCCTTCCTCCAGCTGATATGCAAAATGAAGAACTAGGCTTCTTGCCAATTTATAAGCTTCTTTGCATGTTACTGAGAATGTAAAACTTTATTATTTGATAAGTCTGGGATCAAGCGAGAGCATTACTGTGCGTGTATGTGCATGAGAGAGGGCATATCAACATTCTGTATTTCTGAGTGTACTAAAAAGGTTGAAGCTTGCAAAATTGTATGTAGAGTGACTGCCTAAATGTCTATCAGTGTGTGAGTGACAGACATTTATGATAGTGTTTATGATATGTGCATGAGCTTGCATGTTTTTGAATGTAATACGAGGGATTTCCCTCCCAGCACCACTGTTCCAGACAAGGTAACACATTTGTCATAGAAGATGGGTTGCTTCAATTGCACACACTGTTCCCACACTCCTGTCAATCACCCCTCTGGCCATTGCTTGTTCAAAAGGAATGCTTCCCAGAAGGGTCCTAATAGCACCATGAAAACAACAAAAAATAAACTCAGTTAAAATGGAAAGACAATACACTTGGGAAGTGTTACGGGGCCAACCGATTTACATGAAACTAGGAATAATGCATCATTTTAATCTTAAATGGTTAATTAAGCAGGTTAACAAATGTAGGCCACCTGGGTAGTTGAGTGGTTAATTTGACCTGGAAAGGTAGTAATATCATCAATACTCCCCATACCTGAAACATTAACGGAGTTAAAATATTCTAAATATAGTAAATACTTTTATAAAATGAGATTTATACATAAGGCTTCACATTGGCTCGCATGATTAACATTAAAATAAACTACTTCACACAAATGCAATTTCATAGGCTTGAAACCCCAAATGATGATGTGCCAGGAAGTCTTGTCCAATCTCCCCTTTTGATGGACAGCAAGTGTTCCTGCAGCGATTTCATTTGTGTTTTTAATGAGATCTTTATTTATGCCATCACAAAATGAAAAATAAGTAAAAATTAAAAGGTTTGAAAAAGAAAACCAAGTTTTGTCATCTATGCAGAGGAAACAAATTGCTTCTTTCAGAGGAATAGTCATTTCTTAGACAAAACCTTTTCATTATTAAATGTAACAGTATTAAATTATTAAATGTAAGGTTGCCACTCCAGAATTCCAAAGAATCCAGTAAGCTTAAGCAGAATCCAGTGACCTTAAGCAGCACTGCAATGCAATTAGATGTATATGAAACCTTATTCTACAGGACTTAGTATTTGAAAGTTGATCCCCAATATCAGCATACAAATACCTCATTTAGTAATAGACCGAACTGGACTTTTCAGTGGATATTTATGAACAATCACGCTTGCTTTGAAACTCCCCCCTCTCCTTCTACAAAGGATTGCTAAAGTTAAATTAGTGATTGCTCGCACGGAATAAAATTCTATCCAAGAATTATTCCTACCTTACAATCAATACTGTAATGACCCTTTTGATGCCAATGAAGAAGACGCTTTTCCTTGCAACCTTTGAGTAATGAAACCCCAACACATGAGACACACATTTGAGAAAACTATTCCAGATGCCTACATTGGGTGTGCTCTGCTTTCAGAGTCCATAAGTGGTCACCAGCATGAAGCCGTCACCTGGGGGAAAAAAGCCAAGTTAAAGCCTTGACTAATAACCAGGACCCATCCAGCTGTCAGAATGAAGACCAGTTGGTTAAAATGACACTGGAATGGGTTCGTCATTTGCCTGCATAAAATAGAAAATTCAGATCATCAATTAGTGTGGTTTTGAGGAACAAAAGTGTCTTTAGTTACTGTGAGGTTTGTACCAGGAACTGTAAGCTGCACAAGTAAGGCAGAGTGGTGAGGGAGGTGGCGGGGGGATTGGTATAGGGTCAGCAAGACCACACCATTAATGTTTCTGAGTTTTACATTTGATATGACCCCACCTGTATGTTTACGGTTGGGATGGGGGAATTCTCTGCAGCATTTTGATCATGGTTCAATATTTTGCAAACAGATTGGGCTATAGTTTGCCAGTGGGTGCCAACATAATTTGCCGTCGCTGGAAAACCATGATGATTATTTCATAACCTTACACGCAGTAATAATCTGGGCTGTTCGTGGAATATAATGACCTCTATCGGCACAGCTTGAAGCATGTATTACAGCCCAGGTTATTTGCCTGACCGAAGGATCTGAGAAATATAGGCCTGTCTTCTCCTCATCTCCTGATCCAGCTGTTCCTTCAAAGTGGACACCTAAACAAAGAATCACTGCATTAGATAAAGCTAATAACCATTTGATTTTCCCTAATCGGAGCACTAAGGTCATTATACTTACCTGCCAAGAGAGAAATAGGCTCTTTCGCTTGCCAGGGTAATGCGCTTATATTTGAATATTTTGTTTTTAAAAAAGGGATTGCACACAAACGTAAAAGCCCAATGAATTAAAACTGTGATTTTAAACAATTTATGAATCATTTAGTTGCTTGTATTGGAACGTTTAAATACTGTGTCAATATATTGAACACTATTCTTTGAGAGGGCTGGCCTTTCACCTCTGAAAAATGAGTCTTAACCCGGCCCAGATTGTTTCGTTGAAAGTCTCCGTTCACTCTATGCCAAAAATAGAATAAATTCAACTCAATTTCTACTGAGCACAAATCAACACCAACCTATACCTCATTCAGCAAGAAAGAGAATCACACTGAGGAAGGCCACACTAAACCAGTGGGGGTCCTCTTCTGACTTCAAGGCACATTGATGGGCCGATTAGAGGGAACTAGAATAGAGGGAGCTTTGTCCAGCAACTTCCCGTTGTAATACTCAACCTGATGGTAGCAATGTAGAAGAAGATTTATCTTGCCTTTAACCTGTATAATATCTGACTTTGAAGTACTTGATAGGACAATATAGTGAGAGTATTATGGTGCACCTGTCCCATGATGAATGTGACCTGGGAATGTTTAATGATGATACTTTGAATTCCAATGTCCAAAAACATTTCTGAAAAATAGCATCTCTCACAATGAGAAGCACAAGTGTTCTGCTTTGTGTGGGTAGTGGTGACAGAAATCAAAGGCTCCTTCAGGTTCCTACTTTTGCTGTGAGCTGACCTTGACGAGCACACATGCAATGTGCAACCATACAATGCTGATACCTGTTCTTCCAGTCCCTTCACCCGCTGCCTGTGGGCCCACTCTCTGGCCTCCAGCATTCTCTCTGCCTGTAGCTGAGAGCTCTGAAGTCGATCTGTTTCCATCTCGAGCTCCTGACGATGGCGAGCCGTTAGCTCGATCAAGTTCTGTGAGTGGCTCCGTTCCATATTAGCTGTCTGAGCCTGCCGAAACAGCCCAAATGTATCAACTAAACACTGCGGGACTGGAACCTACGCTTACCAACAGACCCAGTGGAACCTGGTCTTCATAGACTCTCTAAAACATAGTCTTCTGAGGAATAGGTCAATAGTGCAGGGTTCAATTAAAAAAGTGACAGAAGATTCAAAATTTATTTTCTCATTTCTCGCCATAATCGACCCTAAAGGAAGAGGAGTCTGGGAATATGGACCAATGGCAGTTTGAACTGGTGCTGACCTGTAGCTGCTGAATCAGTCTTTGTGTTTCTGCCAGATCCATCTCCACACCATTGAGTGACTGGTCGAGCTGTCCCTTCTCAGCACAAAGCCGCACAGCATCTTCCTCTGACTTTAGCCTCTCCCGTTCAACCTGGGGCAGCATTTACAGCACAAGAGGATACGTTATAGAGACACGCAGAGAGAGAGAGAGAAAGAAAATGTTAGAGGAGCACTGAATGAGAGTGTAAGAGAGAGAGGCTACATTATCGGGCAGATAGAGAAAGTACGTCCCTGTCAACACCAGAATGCCCGAGGTTTCTGATATATGTAAAGCTGGAATTATCTGATATTCTTAGTTTTATCATCATAGCTCTCCTTATGCTCTTTTTCGCCCACAAAATATACAGTCAATTCAGTTTACAGCATATTCTGTGAAGCGCTTTGAGACATCTCAAAGACATGATAAGGCGCTATTATAAATGCAAGGATTATTATTATTATTGACAGTCACATAGGGAAACTAATACTCCTACTTATGCTTGTGTGAGGAGATAAAGCCTAGTACCTAGTACCTAGCGTCTTGGGACGTCCTCCTGACGTGAAAGGCGCTTTATAAATGGAATCTTGTTGTTGTTGTTGTACTTGATTTCCACTGCTGAACATGGAACTGTAGTTCAGCACAGGTCATGGCCTTAAGGAGTGCAGGGGGTAGAGAAGCAAATAAGACAAAATTCAAATTGAAACTGCAGCTAATTTAAACATTATCTGAAACATTACATTAGATATGGTTATTATAATGGTTCTCCTGGTTTAGTCCCAATAATTCTGGTGATACGCAGTTCGATAAGTGGGTTAGTGAGATGCCAGTGGCTGTATGACATGTAAGTGAGGTACAAGGGCAGCCTGGAGGGTTCAGCAACAAGTAAACATTATCCCAGATTGAAACTCCAAGGTAATAAGCTATTCAAAGTTAAACTCCCAACAAGCTCAGATGAAAACAACAACTACAAACCCTTGCAACGTTAAGAGTAGTACGAGACATGTTTATCCTGCTTTGGATTCCAAGCATTTTGTACGTTCAGTACAGTTGACTCCAGGCAAGCAGAGACCTGATCCAAGGGCTGGATTTCAATATAGCAAAACATCGCAATCATATTTTCAAGGCCTGGCGAGGCTTGGGTATAACATGTCCTCGTTCAGTGATTTTGACAGAAACTACTTGAGTGAATGGATGGGTCAAAGATCAGTGGGTTGGTTCTCTGTGTCTCTGCTGTTAAAAATCTCCATCCCAGCAGATTTCTGGGCAAATTAGTTTCAGATTTACCAACAGTTGATTCTCATTGCATAGACTTTACTAATCTATTTTGAGATTCTATGGTCAGAAAAAGAAAATGTCTCATGTTCGTCAAAGTTCACCTTGTACTTCTCACATTGAGCTATGGAAGATGAGAGGTTACAACAAAACCTGGACAATCTGGACAAACACTCCACTCAGACTACTCTTAAACCAACCACTGTCAGCGCCACTCTTAAACCAACCACTGTGTGTTATGGAAAAACATCAAGAACAATCTTCACTTCCTCACTTTGGAAACGTCCAACTTTAACGCATCCCATTCTCGTGAAGGGTGCAGGCTGAGACAGGAAACTCTCTGTGCAGAGTATCACTCGCTCAAACCTGCCCTTGATTGCTCCAAAGTGCCTGGGTTGGTACACGCTACCTATTCCAGACATTTGGCAACAACAAAGGGCTTGAAAATAGTGTGCACGTCTGCTCAATGAGGTAACACAAAGGCAGTGAATATTAATCTGTCCTTTCATCAGCTAGACATTAGTGGTTTAAATACTTTTTTTTGAAGATGTACTGTTCGACTCACCACAGCTCAAGTCCCTGAAATAAAGGATCTTGCTGACTGATACTTTGCACACCTCCACGAGACTGAATAAATAGAGCTGGAGACAGAATAAAGCTGTGTTTCATTTTGACAGAACACTACAAAAACAAAGACGTTCAACTTCTGAGATTTCTTAGTCATTTTACAAAAACACACATCTAGTGTATCAAGACTCATTCCTTTCATCTCTGGAGCCTGGGTTCAAATTCAGCTCAGACAAAAGGGACAAGGGTTTTCTTACTTTGATGGTAGATGAGGTGGTCCAACTCAATTAGACAGAAGTCTTTGGGACCTGAATTCAAATCCACAAAAACAAAGTGGATGAAGATCTCTTCTCTCTGATGGGGATATTGGATGGATCAGTAGGTAAGACTTAGTTTTAGTTCAGAGGTGAAAGAATTTAGACTTTGACTTACTGATTCATCCTAACGTCCCCAACACAGGAAGAATTCTCAGAAGGAATCTCGGTTAAAGATATGGGTGGCGGGATGGCTGGGAAAACAGACAGCCAATTTCAAACTAAATCGCCTGAATGTGAAGGCTAGAGAATGTACATTTGAAAACAACAGTGTACTCTTACCCTTGACAGGCAGGAGGGAGATACAGAGCAAGTTTTTCTCTTTTTTTAAAAAAAAACAAGAAAATGCTGTTATCAACCTTCAAGCTTGGTCTCCCCCACCTCCGCGTTAGTGATAGGACTGAGTTTGCTCAGAGACAAATGGAACATGGGTGAAGATTTGGGAAATGACTCCTGATAACATGGAAAGACATGGAAAGTTATTAACAGCTCACAAAGTGCAATGCATGTTCTGGCATCAGGAGTGGTGCTTAATCCTAGGCTAACAACTTATATGTACTAGAGACTGCGGTCCAGTTTGGTAGTTGTGTATGACAGAGTGATTTGCTTCTCCTGCAGACAGGAGAAGCAAAGTACAAAGCTTTATTTTGCTGGCATTTTCTATAACCTTTGGAATTAGTTTGATCCGAGATGCTTTTTTTCCATCTCAGTTACCAGCAATTCCAACATGCATGCCTGGGAAGAGCAAGGGCTTCAGGGTTTTTTTTTTACAGTATTAATCTAATTGGATCAAAGTGAAGTCAATAGGGAACAGCAACAAAACAACAGTGGGCCTGTGCCCCTTTAAGAACTTATAGCTTTCCATTCATGGTTCAGTTTTACATCAACTGTAAACAATTGGTTCTGATCAAAATGACAGCCATGCTTCAATACACATTACTTACAAGCCCCGTGCACATATATTAGATAAAGGTTTTGTTTGAAAGCTTGAGTAATGCCAGCATGCTCCTGTACTGGTCCCAACAGCTGGTACTGTAGACACAAGTGATTGAAAGGATTCTGCAATAAGCAGCCTTCAGAAATGAACAACTGTTCGAGTAAGCTCAGTGCTATCGCTGTTTTACTTCAATGTTTTGTTCCAAGGTTTTGTGCGGTAGATAGCAATTTCTTGAAGGGCTAACGTGAATGATCCAGATATAGTAAAAATCACTCAGATCTGTAGCCAACTTGGAATACTCTGTCCCAAACCTTGGTGCTTCTCACTGCCATCTCCCAAGTATTCCTCTGAAGAGTGGTACATTGAAGTAGTGGGCTATAAAATAACAGACCATCTCCACACTAAGCGTAAAAGACATGATAATGTGAGCAAGGTTACTTGCTCTCCAAGTTCAACTGAACTGATTGTTTGCTGAGGAGGAATATCAAACAGTTCTGTGTATAGTACTGGTTGTCACAACACAATGGGGATGGCCAGGGCGTATTGTTAATGCAGAGGAGAGCAACGAGGATGATCCCCAGTGTTAGAGCAATGATTAGACATGCTAAGTGCCTTATAAAAAAGTTATGTAAAATTTTAAATGAGATTGAGAAAGAAACCTCAGAACAATATGATTGGATGCACCAAGACAGCAGAACAAGAGGACCTTTTGGATAGACTGTGTATAGTTCTTTACCCAGAACTTAATTAAGGTTACCAGGAAAGGGGGGTTAAGGCCAGGATGCTGGCCTCACTTAATAAACAACTTGTTGTGACGAGAGGACGATTTGGTGGGTATTCTAGAAAGATGAGATCAAATCAGCCAGGTTGATTTTCTCTTCAAACTCTGTAAAAAAAAATTAAAAAGAGAAATAGGGAGTTAACTTGCTCCGAATGTTAAAATAACAATGTTTTATAACGTCTTTTATTTTTGAAAAAGATTGATGTTCAGAATAAGAGAGGCCCCTGTTCCATGTTTCCATTCCTTCCTCCATTGTGTTGGCTCAATGTTTGCTTCTTTATGCAGCATAGAAGAAACGAGGAATACTCTTTTTTATTCCCATGGACATGGTCTTTTAGAATCAACAGAACCATAACTTGAAAATTGCTGGGAGACAGAGTGTCCAATTTGTGCTGGTGATATTGCTACCCCTACAAGCCATTCAAATCCAGATGCACTGACTGCCATATCGAAGCAGATTTTTCTTCCAAGCATAAAATTCCCATGTAGTCTGTTTCCATCATCTCCCATCGCCTGCAAATTCTGATCCGAACGTGACATTGCTTTGGCAAGCAACTTATCCGTTTAGAAGACTTCAGCTGTAATATGATAAGGACTGTGAAATTCCACCAATTTCGCCCACACGTAATTAATTTAAATGGCTGGAATCACCTAGTTGAAGCTTTCAGATCTGAGTTTCAAACCCAGTTGTCACACAGCCAAATGAGCAATTAGGTTAATGCCTGGACTGCTTATGTCAAACACAAGCGTGACACAAATTACTTCCCCTGCCCAGGCTTATTATTATTTAATCCCTTTCAGTAGTTCCTGATTAACTACTTGAGCAAACAGAAAGCTGACGCCCTAATGGATCACAGACTAGGAATTGTAGAGAAAGAAAAAAATTAAATTCAATCAAACTTTCTGTCACTCCTTGTTAACCAGCCAGTCTAAATGTAATTTGAAAACCACTGTTAAAGCATTTGCTCGATCAAAGCCAATGAGACAGGGATTTATGAGCTGACTGTCTGTCTGTCACATGAAATTCACTGAAGTTACGCCTATGGCAAAAGAGCAAACTGTTCCCAAGTTTGAAATTTTAGGCACAAGATTCAATCTTTTGTGACCAACGAAAGAAATTTCTTGTCCAGCAGTTTTGCCTCCAATATTCATGACCTGATTTAAACTCTGATATCTGCTCTGCAGAAACACTTTTTAGACTAAGAATAGCACATATTTTCAGATACAAGCTAGCTTTGAG